TTTTGAAGGATTTTGATAAGAAACTCATTCAGAAAATTCAAATGTATCTCTAAATTTTCCATTATAGTAGTTTATCAAGAATAACTGAACCCAAATGTAGCGTAAATTGAGATTAAAAGACCGAAGTGGAAATGGATCGGCGCGTAGCGGCTGCACCCGACCTGAAGTGGTTTTCGCGCGGTAGCATTTAGGACTTCAGGCCGAAGTGTTCAAGAAATGTTGAAAGATGAATTTCGGCCGCGACCGCGAGCCATTCCAAATGCGACCACGATGTTACAAAGAGTAGAAGAATTTACTGATATTGAAGCAAGATAAATTCTTTTTTTTTGAATTTTTTTTGGTGTGTCTTTATAATGCTAAGCATGTTTAGTTTTGAACTTTTTAATCTTTTTTTCAAAAAAAGGCTTCAAAAATAGAAAAAAAGACTTTAAAGCAAAAATTTTTTTGAGTATGGAAAAACTGACAAAACTTAAAAAAGATAAAAAAAAACCTTTGAAGACCAAGTTTTTTTTTCCGAGATCTCCGAAAAACCTTCAGGAAATGCGCAGTTCCCCGCGAATCATCTCGGAAAAAATGTTCGAAAATAATCGCTTTAAAGGGCAAAGCTTCATTCCAAACACCCAAAAGCTTAAGGCCCGAATTTGTTCTTTGCAACGTGTTTTCCCAATCTTTCGCACTTCCCTTTTTTGGCTTTCAAGCGCTAAAAGCCTATTTTCTCCATTCTTTTCTTATTTTCCGGGTTCTCGATATATAAATCTGGATAAATAGATCATTTCGAGGCCCGCTGATTCGTTTATTTTTGCGCATAATCGCGTGATTTCGCTCCAAAAACCAACGTTTCAACTTCGGCCTTTTCCAGTTCCTTTTTTGGAGGGTGTAGTTTGGATTTTTCGCGATAGGTTCCTAAAATTTAAACGGAGAAATTAAGGAAGTTGGGCACGGAAAATGGCGTGCTGCCATTGTTTCTTTCTCTAGTTTCCAGTAGTTTGACTAAAAAGCCTTGGTCGCGTTTGGAATGGCTTGAAGCGTTGCGGCCAGAGCCAAACCGATTATTAACTCTTTGATTTTGCGCTGGCCTTCCCAATAACTTTTCGCGCAACTCTTTTCAAGTCGGTCGCGCACGCTTCGCAGCCGTTACGCGCCGAGCCATTCCAAGTGCGACCATAATATTTTGATAACCTATAAAGTTTCTGGAATTTCAAGTCTTTGCTGTATACTTTTTGATTGAAATGACGATTGCAAGAATTTTCATGCTTATGACCGCATTTGGAATGGCTAAATGCGTTTTACTGTAACTCTGGCAAAAAACAATTTTTCGGACTCTTTTTCATGTCTAAAATGAGAAAAAACCAGTTTCATATTTTTCTTGTGAAAGAACCATTCCTTCAAATTTGATGATACCAATGGCCGCATTTGGAATGGCTGAACACGTGAAGAATCTTTTTGGGTTTCATTTTTTTTTTGATAGTTTGAAAAAAAAAAATTGAGCCAGGTCAGAAGCGCCGATCAAATTGATCAAATTTGGCAAGGAATATTGAAAATTATTTCTTTTTTTCGTTTTTTCGCGAACTTTGAATCATTCCAAAGATTGAAGTTAATCTCCAAAAGATTGCGTGGAAATTGAAACAACAAAACAATTTTTTCCAGCTTTTTCTGTAGTTTTTTTTTGGGATCCAAAGGTTTCTCTCATGATTTTCCCGCTTGTAGGAAGTTCGAGGCGAGTTCTATCCGTCAGGATCTTCCCAGGAATACTCGAACTTTTTCTAGGTCCATTAACCAATTTAGAACTTCATATGAAGGCGTTTTGAGTCATTTCATTAAACTATTTCCAGTTTTTTTCCGAAATAAATGCATTAACAGAGTATGTGAGTAATTGGAAGAAGGTACTGTGTTTAGGGTTACGGTAGGAGAAAAAAATGAAAAAAATTTAGAAAAGGTCTGGAATTTTTTTCAAAGACCGTTTTTTTGAATTTTTTTGAACTTGAATAATTTTTTTGACAGTTTTTTTGGGGTAACAACGGAAAAACTTTCAAAAAAAGTAGATCGATTCGATTTTTTGGACATTACAAAAGAGGTCTTCTAATCAAATTTTTGTTTTCTGAAAAATTTTCGAAACTTTTTTTGAAGGCCTGCGTGAAGTTACATCAGATCTTAATAATTAAGATGAATAAAACTTTTGAAACTCCTGTTTTAAATAATAAATTCAGCCTTGGGAAGTTTTTGAGCCTTCAATACAGAAGCTTGAGTACCTAGGAAGCGAAGAAAATCCTTTTTAAATCCAAAATTGATGAAGAAAGTAGAAGTCAGCTATTCGTCGGCTTTTTGAGACTTTCTCTTTGAAGTCCACACCATCTGGCGCAAACAATGCTGACTTGAACCCTTTCATAGAACTTTCTGTCCTCCTTTTGTTGTTCCTTTGTTCGACAGACTTCTATAGTTTAGCTAGGGACCGCAGACGAATTTTCAAAAAATTTTTTTCAGCATTGAGTTTTGTATGGTTTGATAGCTGTTTCGATTCAAAACTCAGAACCGTTTAGTTTTTCAAAAAAGATTGAAGATGAAAAAAGTTATGACGGAAAATGTGGCGCTCCGCGCACCATTTTTTTAGTACTGAAATTTTGGTATTATATAGTTTTGAAATTTTTCTCAATTTTTCTTCTAGAACAAGTTTTGATACTGGTCTATTATGATGTAACAAATTATAATAGAGTGCTAAAATGATGCTAATCAGCTAGTTTGCCGAAAAAGTCAGTATTTTCCAGAAAACAAAAAACTGACGCTTGCGGGCATCGAACTCGCGACCTCAAAATGAAAAATCGCAGCGCACGCGCTGCGCCAAGCTGTTAAGTATTACGAGGGGAGTTTCCATCCGCCATATCCTTGAGCCGTTTGAATAGCACAGATTGCCTATTTCAAAAAGAAAATTTTGAAGTAATTTAGCTATTTTTATCAGAATATGTTTGCAAATTTTTTCTCAAACTTTTCGTGGAAATTCACTTCGAAAAAACTGTTTTTTCAGTGCTTTTTGCCTTTATTAACGATCGCTGCATTAAAACGGCCCCGTAAATTTTTGGCAAAGACGAATTTTTTATTTTATTCTTTTAATTGAAAGATTTTTTACTAATAAATGTATATAATCGTTTAAAAAACCTGCGTTCGACCGTTTTCTGTGTAATAAACGCCGCTAATTTTATTCTCTATTTTCAAGAGCATTTTTGCGTATCAAACAACTTTTTCAAGCACATATGCTGTGGAAAAAAATTTAAGTAAGCCCATGGTCTAAATTTTGAAAAAACAAAAACTCGATTATATTCGCTTATTAACGATATTTTGAATTAGGACTTTCGGCACTCCCTAAAAATTTTTTTGGCAAAGACGAATTTTTTTATTTTATTGTTTTAAAATTACCGTTACTTGAATCAAAAATCATTATTTAAAAAAAGAAAGAGTGCGTTCGACCTGAAAAACACATGAAAAAAAGCAAAAAAACGACAAAAATTTTTTTAGTTCCATTCACGTTTTTTTGTACGACATTCCGCGCGAACGCATCAAAAAAGCGTGAAATATTTTTTAAACGAAAGAGGAAGCTTTTTTGTACATGTGTGCCAAAATTTATTATCAAGTTCCACATATTTTGCAACTACAGCAAAATGAAAGTTGAAAACCAAAAAAAAGCCACTTTTTCTATCGCGAAAAGGGGCGTGGCTTTGCGGTCCCTAAGTTTAGCTCATTCGACAAGATTCGACAAAAGTTTGAAACTGTTTGGTTTCTTTGCGCTCTCTCATTCTTACCATGTTTAAATTTTCTATCACTTTCTATCATTTTCTATGGCATTGAGAATAAAAAAAAAGACTGAAGAAAATTAAGGTTTTGTTAGAAAATAAATATCAACCGTGTTACCGTCAGAAAAGATACAAAAAATTGGTTTTGCTTGGATTTTATTGTATGGAGCTAAATCTTTCTGAAACTTTCTAAAGTTTATTTTTTTCTTCGTACCGAAATTTTACCAGTGTAGTACAAATGAAAACCATGACAAATCTGGGAAAATTTTTAGGGGCCACTAAACCCACCTCTATAGTGGCCACTTCAGTAGTTTTTCATCCAGTATTCCTTCCAGTAACTCTGATAATTTTAAAACAAACAGATTGGACGAGTTATGTTGATCCATTGACCCCTAAAGTGGCCACTAAAATTTTTGTAATCTAGAAGTAGCACTTAAACCTCTATAGTGCCCTTTGATTTTTAACCCCTTAAGTGGCCACTAATTTGTCTACTATAGTGGCCACTAAAACGTCGAAACCCTATAGTGTCCACTAGAAATTTTCCCAGCTGCAGAAAGTTTCAGAAAAATCAGACTACATACAAGAAAGTCGTGATCAAAAAACGTACTTCGTGTTTTTTTGACGGAAGCTTTTGAAGTTTGGGATTTTTCCAGAGTTTTTCAAATTCCAATTCTGAAAATTGATGAAATCTTGCTTGTCATTTTCTAAACTAAAAAAAAAGCGAATTGCAATGGAATGAATACAATTCACTTCATTCGGCACTACTCTTACCAGTCTGACCTGTCTGCGTCTCTTTTCTCTCTTCAGCGGGGTTTTACAAAGATGGAAACAGTGAAGAGTGTCGTCGAGGGAGAAGAGAGCGCAGAAAGAGCAGATTTTATTATTTTTCTTTTAAAAGCCCACTTTTTATATCTTGAACCCCTTTCATAGAACCATCCTTTCCTTCTTTTTGTTCTTTTTCCACTTGACGAGACTCTACGCTAGCCTGGGCTATAAGAAGGACGACTTCTGTATCCAGAAATTGAAATCTGGTTGCAGGGAATAATGAAAAGTGTTAACTACTTCAAGAAGAGAATCAGAATTTCTTTCCAAGACCTAACTCAAAAACCTTTCTGTCTTGAACCCCTTTCATAGAACCATCCTTTCCTTCCTTTTGTTCTTCTCCCACTTGACGACGAGATTCTACGGTAACCTGGGTAAAGTGTGGACGACCTTTGGATGTTGGAATTGTTGGTCGGAAAGGCCGACGACGTGACTCAGAGCCTTACCTGCCCCGGCCGGCCGCTCTTTCCTTTCGGAGCCGTGCCGGCGTCGCGTCCCGGCACTTCCAAAACCAACAATCCACAAAAAAAACCACATAATGCACAATCGTTTTTGTTCTGGTGGTACGGTAGGTGCTGGTCTGTTCGAATCGCACCATCCGAATGGCAAAAATGGTGGTGATGGTGACTGATCGAGGAAAAGACCATTTGGGGGCTTGAAAGCTTTGAACTTTCTGAAGAACTTTGGTAGTAATATTGGCTACTTGGTTTTTCGAAAAACGAAGCTTTTCTCTTGAGCTCGAAGGGTTGGTACTTCTCGAAGAAAATAATCGACAAAAAAAATTTTGATTTTTCAAAATTATCTTTTTTAAAGTGAGAAGTTGCAGATAGAGATGAAAAAACCAAAAAAATGAGACAAGTAAAATTTTCTGATGAGATTGTTTTTTAAAAGTCTGAACTGATTGATAAAATTGTTTCTGTAGAAACTTGGCTCCTTGCAGAACTTAGACTTTCTAATTTTTTTTTCGAAAAATCGGCTATCTTGTATGAAATTTCATTTTTAAAGGAAAAAAATACATTGAATTTTAATATACTGCAATTTTAAACTAAACGTTTATTGAAATGAGAAAGTCCAAAAAAATGTATGTAAGCTCCCAAAGAAAAATCGGCTGAAGGACTCAGAATCGCTGACTCAATTAATCAGTGACATTTGCGCTCCATGGACAATTTTTTTGTTGATTTAAAAAAACTTTTTCATCAGAGGAATTCATTTCTGTTCTGAAATGAAAAATTTCGATCTTTCATTCCAGTTCTCTGTTTCGAGGTGACTACATTGACTCTAAAAAAAATTTTGGATCATTTCATACGTTTTTCGTAATGATACCCGAACCCTTCGGAAAAAAAAAATCATTTCATATATTTTATGGAGAAGATCTCTGAAATTGTCATTTTCACCATTATTTATGGACATAATCTCAAATTTTAAACTTTTTCCTCTTCAAAAATGAATGATACAATGGCATATGACTTTCGAACTTCTCTAATCCTCCTCCAAGGCTTCTCGAATTCTCGAATAAAGAAACATTTTCCTTGATTTCTGTGCTTTTCCCAACGAACAACAATTTTTTTGTTGAGGATTAAAATCTGCATTGACGTTCGGAAGCCCTATTTGAGCCTTTTTTAAAATTGACTTTGAACTAATAAACTTTCGGGAGTTTTCGAAGAACTCTGTTCGGAATTAAAGATTATCAGAGGGCACGAAATAAAACAAAAAAGCTCATAAAAACGTCATTTTCTCCTACGGTACCTCAAGATGACAATGGAGTTTGTGATCCTTGGGCTCTACCTAATTAGTTTTACCTACTTTAATTGGACTTTCGAAAATTCCGGCAAAAAGTTGTTATCAACATCTCATGACTTCAAAAAAAGCCTTATTATTAACGGTTAACAACCGCCAAGCCATTATCGTTACGTCAAAATGTTTTTTAATCATCTGGGAACATTTTTAGTGGCCACTATAGAGGCTGGCCAAGGACTACTTGATGAGGACCCTAAAGGGACCACTAAACCCACCTCTATAGTGGCCACTTTCCCGTTTTAGTGGCCAATTCAGTAGTTTTTCATCCAGTATTCCTTCCAGTAACTCTGATAATTTTGAAACAAACAGATTGGATCAGTTATGTTGATCCATTGACCCCTAAAGTGGCCTTTAAAAATTTTTGTTGTCTAGCAGTAGCACTTAGACCTCTATAGTGGCCACTAATTCTAACCCCTTAAGTGGCCACCAATTTGACTACTATAATGGCCGCTAAAACTCCAAAACCCTAAAGTGACTCTCAAAAAAATTTTTAAAAAAATTTTTTTGTATATTATTAACCTGAATCGTTTCCCATGTGAGATTCAGGGCTGCACGTAGAAAAGCTTGAAGTAAATGTTGCTTCAGAGCGCCCGACTTAAAACGACTTGCGTGCGCTGACGTCAGAAATTATTGAACCAAAGTACATTTTTTGGAAATTCCTCGATATTTGAATCCGAACTTTTCTTAAGTATCCCTTCATAACCTTTTAAAGTTTTATCATCATATACTTACCGTAGTTTGAAAAAACCCCGAGCTTTCTCTCAATTGCTCTCTTTCTCTCACATCTCTTGATAACCTAATTTATGAAGTTTCACCTGCAAAAGACACTAGTTGATAGTATTTATCCGCTCGATACCTACATCCGACAAAAAGTAGCCGAAGTTTACCTCAGCAGCGAGAAATTCCAGGTAAACCACTCCAATTATCATTTCGAAGCGCAACCTATGGACACCGAGCCAAATGGAATTACTTCGTTTAGCGCCAGTTGCAGCTTTTTAATCTTTTGATCTGGTCTATTTTTAGCGGTTTCTTTTTGATTTTGGGGCTGGCGGGTATAGAATTTTCTTGCTTCGAAAAAATTTTAGAACCTTCAAAAAAAAAAAATGAGATTTTGTTGGATAGGTCCGGAGAGTGAATTCCGTTGCAGTTATGGATACGCGATATGAATTTTGACGTTTTTCTTGGATTATTTATGATATCATCACGCGCAAGTCGGTTAAGGTCGGCGCGGTTCAAAAATGGGCTGTTTCGCAACCGTATATCCATTCCAAATGCGACCATGGATTTTCAAATAAAGCGCTTTTTCGAAAGTAGGATTTTATGGCTGAAAAAAAGTTCTTTTTTGATAGAAATACCCGTTGCAAGTGTTCCCAGTAAGTTATTGTGTCCATGACCGCACTTGGAATGGCTTTACGCGTCGCGGATGCGTGGCGGCTTTGTAAACTGTTTCTTGACCCATTTGACCTGAACTTCTAAGTTTGTAGAACAATTTTGGTTGATTTTTATTAATTTTATAAAAACATAACTTTGAGGATAACAGTTTTCAAAATCAATATCGAAAAATAAGTTTCATGAAATAGATAGAATGAAAAAAATATAAGAAGAGAACCCCGTTATGAATATTCAAAATATCCCTAATTTTCTTACGCAAAAGAATTCCCTCGTTTTATTTTTAAAGGTTTATATCATCTACGAAGCAGGAATCATTTTTTACTTAAGAAATATCATGGCGCAATTGGGGTCCGCTGGTTCCTTGACTCGATTATGAAGGTTCGATCCCCGCCAAAAAATAAATCCATTGACCAAAGTCACGTTCCCTTTCGCTCTAATTTTCTTAGAGAATCCCCCAAATTCAACCGGAATTCCTATGGAAAAACAGTCTCCACTTCAAAAACGCTTATCGTCGAATGAAATTCAGAAGGAAAATCGGGTTTTTCGCCCTTGGGCCAATTGTTTTTCGAATTTCACGCGAACTTGTCGCGAATTTTTGTCTTTTCCCGCTCATTTAGGTTGAAAGTAGGCTTGTTGTTAAGTGGCGAACAACTGGGGGCAACTGGTTAGGCGCCGCCTCCGAACGACGTCTTCTGGAGATTCTTTTTTTTTCGGCAGATGGGCACCTGAACGATTTTGATACTTTGATCGGGTTGAATTTATCTTTTTTTTTTATTCTTCCACGAGTTTTCTGCTCATGACCGGACATGCTCCAGGCGTTTCTGAATTGTTCTAGAGAACACTTCCGAGTGTTGACGCTTCTAAAGGGGTCACTAAGAATGAATATCCATCCTTCTTTATAAACTTTTCCAAGACGTTTCTCGATCTCCTCGAAGCTTGGTTGCAAGTTCAAGTTTTACGCGTTTTTCTCGGGCTACAGCAATAGAAATGGGACGTATCCGGACGTTTCTGAATAGTTCTAGGGATCACTTCACTGGGCTGACGCTACTAAAGGGGTCATTAAAAATGAATATCCGTCCTGAACGTTTTTGATACATTGATCGGGTTGAATTCGTCGTTCTTTTTTTTTCTACGACTTTTCTGCTCTCGATGACTACTTTTTTGAGCTCCAGAAAGCCTTTTTTTAAACGTTTCCAAGACTTGAACATTTCTTCGAAGCTAGGCTAATTCTAGGAATCACTTCAGAGCGCAGAAGCTACTAAAAGGGTCACCAAATTTTTCTTAATTCATTAAAAATGATCGTGAACGTTTTCTATACCTTGATTTGATTTTTAAAAATTCGTCCAGGTGTTTTATGCTGGTTAATGAATTTTTTCCAAGTTTAGACAGTCTTCTGAAGGTATATTTTAATTTTTTTATTTATCATCATTCCTGAAATTTAACTTGAACGCCTCCTATCATTTTTACAATTTCAACAATTTTTCTTCGCTTTAAAAATCTTTTCCAGTAACTTTATGATCCTTGAAGTTTCCAAATCTTTAACTTTTCTGTGGACCGTTCTCTTTTGGAGTTGCGTACTTTTTTTTCGGCTGATCCCGATTTTTTTTAAAATTTCATTTTCTCATTTCAAAAAGCATTTTTTTTTTCATTTTTTTCAGTCAGAATGTTTTTGCGTGATCTTGATAAGATCTATAAGTTTACTGGAAGGTCTCGTTTTTCCGAAAATTGCTGATTTTTAGAGCTAATCCAGAATCGTTTTGATTGAGCAAGGTTTGAAGATTGAAAAATAGAATTTTGAGGTGTTCGTTCTGGAAACAATAGGAACTTTTCCAGATTGAGCGTTTCTGGGATTTTATCAAGTTCAAAGGAATCTTATAACTGTTTTTAGAGATTTTTTTACCGTATATTACCCCCCTATTAAGGTCAAACGAAATTTCCAGAACAACGCCTTATAACCTTTCCTATTCCTCAACCGTCCTCCTCCTTCGTTTTTTGAATATGTATTCGAATGGTGGGGCTCCCGAGAAGTCGTCCGGGGGACGAATGTTGCCATTCTCGACGGTCTTTCGCCTTTTTCCGTCGGTCCAAACGCCACGGACTGGCCGGCACCGTCCGGCCAGTCATGGAAACATGGCTACGGTAACTCTCCACGTCGTTCCCTTTTCCCCTTGATTCTTCTCCTTTTTCGAATTGTTTCTGATCAACTGGGCTGGATTTAAAAAAAATATAGCACTCTGATTTAGGATTATCTAAGGAGATTCTATTCAAATTTCACATTTTTTCAATTTTCAGTCGCACTAGAATTTGATCAGGCTTGTTTTTTTTAATGATCCTTCTCAGTTTTCTCTTGACAATATCTTATTCTCAAAGTTCAGAAAAAAAGATTTTTAATAGGTCAGTTTCCTATTGATTCTTCTTGATTTTCTGAAAAT